AGATCAATAAACTGATTTGTGTTTGCTGACCAGAAGAAAAATCTAGTTGCAGGTACTCCATATTCACCATTTGTGGTGAAACTAGAGTAATTGGAATAATGAGAAATCCAATGTGCTTCTTCTGTTTGGAGTTTATTCTTCTTTAGGATTCATTAAACTGGACAGGCCTCTCAAGGTTTAGGCTGGTTATGTATCACAGTTCCTAGGCCCTCAGACTTCACAGATTTCTTGAAATTCCAAATCATCACACTTGCCATCTTTTAATAAGACTTGAAAATATTGAAGCAATATTATTCCTGCTGTTTAGAGGCTCATTTCACTCACCAGAATCTCATTTGACTGAAGTTTGAATGCATTTGGACAGCAAAATAGTTCCTGGGTTGCCTCAAATTCCAGATTTCTGCAATTACTTACGCTTGGAAGAGAAAATAATGCTGTCCTGCATGTCCTGAAGATGTATTTCCAAGTACTGTTGTGCCAGTTCTCAAATACTTTTTGTTTGAGCATCTTTTGCATTTCTTTTGACTTAAGTAAAAAAAGGAGAGGCTGGAGGTGCTGGCATGATTGTATTTCTGTGAGGGACCATATTCAGAAAGGTAAAAGGTTTTAGGGTAAGAGAGGAAGAAATACCCAGGAAAACCATGAAATTGGAGTTGTGTGGATGTGTTTTCTTCACCTGAGGGGAACAAAAGCTCTTTCAGGGTGGGGATCTTAAGTCACTTCAATTGCCAGTAACAGAAATGAAGATGGTAGTGAAGAGTTCTTAAAAAGTTACTGCACAGAGAGCAAATTGTCACCTGGATTTACCTTTGCTTTGAGGGAAAGTTGGTAAATTTAATAGCTGTATCATTAGCTTGGATGTCCCATTAGGATTGTTTGGAAGTGGAGAATGAGCCCTCTGTGAAGCAAACAGAATGGAGTGAGCTGTGGCTCCTGGGAGGAGGAGAAGGAAAGAAGGAATTGGGGGTTGATGGAGTAGCCAGGTAATGATGAGTTTGTGATTTTAGCTGAATGAGTAGCTGAAAGGGAGCCATAAAAAACCTACAGAAAATGGGTCTTCAAAAGCTTTTCAAGGCAAGCTTGGAGGAGTGGAGGCAAAGCCTCTTTTTGCCTGGGTTCCATTTGGATCTGGCCATGAGGGAAGAGGAGCCCAGAGTTTCTCTGCAGCTGCAGACCCCAGTGTGAGGGGAAGGGGATGTGTTCCCTGCTGACATATGGCACCACCTGGGATCAGCTGAGATTATGCCAGTGAAGGCTAAATCCTGCAAGTTGATTCCCCTTGCTGGTATTTAACAAATGAAGTACCTTATCCAAAGTCTCTTGGGAATCTATGGGCTTGCAGTGGGGTTTGTATTCCCCTGTGGCAGGGCAGATTCAGCTTTGTGGTTCTGTTGGTGTGAATACCATGAAGGCTGAGCTCTTCAATTGTCCATCAATCTTCAAAATAGACCAGTGAGTTCAGTTAAAATTGAACCTTTATTGTGGTCTGCCTGATTAATTTGAAAAGGATTTTTACTTTTTTTTTTTTTTACCTTCTTTATAGACACTTTCATGAGTCTGTGATCAGAATTTGTCCCTGTTCCGTTCTAACAAGCACCTGGTTTTTTCTTACCATTCACTGCCAAGGTACATTTATTTCATCAGCTAAGAAAAAACCATTTAAGGCAGATTGTGACAAACTAATTTTACTTATATTATAATTATATTATTTACAAAGCAGTAGGGAAAGAGGAAATGGCATCAAGTTGTGCCAGGGAAGGTTTGGATGGGATATTAGGAAGAAGTTCTTCACTGAAGGTGTGGTCAGGCACTGGAACAGGCTGTCCAGGGCAGTGGTGGAATTACCATCCCTGGAGGGGTTCAAAAAGTGGATGTGACACTTGGGGAAATGGTTTAGTGGTGAACACAGCAGTGCTGGGTTAATGGTTGGACTTGATGGTCTTCAGGGTGTTTTCCAACCTTAATGGTTCTATGACAGAAAAGCTTGAATGTTTAGAATTTTTTTTTTTGTTAATGGATTTAATTCTTGAAATGTGAAGTGGTATCTGATCTGCTGGAGAAGACTCTGCTTCCTCCCTGAGTATTTCCATTTCTATTCTGAATATGTTCAGGAACATTTATGTTTTTATTCATGTACCAGTATTTTCTTTATATCAGATAGTTAATATCATTTTCAGTCTCTTCTCTTGCAGAGTTACTGGCAGTGACCATGTATCCCATTTCAGCTGAGTGAGCCAGACTGTTTTAGTCCTTGTAAGATAAGACTGTGGTACCCTGATCCCCCTCACAGCCAGTTCCTCAGCTGAAGCTCAAGTTCACCTTTCCTGGCCATGCACTGACAGGCTGTGGGCTGGGAGCAGTGCTATAGCTTTTACACCATCCTCTTTTTCATTAAAAATTCCTCCCAGGGATCTGTTCTCTTGCTGGTGCCTTGAGTCTTTTGAAAAGAAAATTGCTTTCTGTAGCAATGAATTACAAACCTCCAAAAAATCAGGACACACCTTTTTTAGACCTTCTGTGCAAGAAAAGGGCATTATTTCTGGTTGTACAGTCAGTGAACCCTGAATTTTAAAATAGCTGGGTGCTTTTCTTCCTCACCCAATGAAGAGAAGAATGAGAGACAGAGAATAGCAGAGTTTTGCTTTTTTAACTAGACAGAGGTGGGTCCACTCAGTTACATGTATGTCACCATTATTATATGGAAATGTTCATTGCAGAAATCTGCTCAGGCTTTTTCTTAATGCAGCTTGGGATGTGATCTCCACTTGAAAAATTCAGTATTGGTTGTTTCAGGACAGGTGAGACCCCCAAAGTACCCAGTGATTGCAGAAACCTGCTCTTGCTGGCTCCATTCACCACCTGGGGTTTTCTGCTGGCCATGCTGCCTCCTCCTCTCTGCCTTTATAGTGGGTTTTGTCACATTTTTCTTCCCAGCTTTGTCCACATCCACAGCCCAGCCTTTACCTCATGCTGAAGGACATGTTCTCACTTCCCACCTTAGTGCAAATACAGTGTTTTGTCAGAAATGAAGCAATTCAGCATTTGTGGCTGTAGGTGTTTGACTCATAAGTTGTTATGGCCATTCTTGGGTATGCTGGGAGAATATTTATTATAAGACTAATTAATTATTTTGGGCTTATTTCTTTAAAACTAGCATTTTGTAATCACAGACAGCAGAACTGTGATTGTAGCTAAGCAGTAGCCATGAGATAGGTCAGCAGAAAAATTATTTAAAAAGTAGAAAAGTAAGGACAAATAGAACAATGGTCAGTGTATTAACACTTGTCTAGAATAACTCCCTAGGCTGCAGAAAAGTGTATCTAGCAAGATACTAGGAAGTTTTAAACTTAATAATGGAGCTCTGTGCGTTGTGTTTTAAGGCTTACAAGCAAGTATTGTATTTGAAATAAACAAGCATTGTTTTAACCAAAGGTACATGTGTTTATAGCAGTTAGATAGAGCTACTGTCAATGTGCTTTTGCTTTGTGTGATTGGTCAAAGAACTTTTAAAGTAAGTTGTAACATTAAGTTCTTTGTCTGCTGCTTAGAATGTGAGCTGCTGGCATCTTCCCATTGTCATCACCATGTAATGAGGCTGGTGCTGGAAAATAAAATATCTCAGGGCACGTTCCCAGCAGTCCCATCCCATTTGTGATTTGTACACAGCCCCTGGCCAGTGATAGACTGAGACCCTTGAGTGTGTGCACATGGGTGTGTCAGTGCCTGCAGGGTCAGCTTCTGAGTGCCTGAGCCCAGCTGCTGGGGGGATCTACTCTGCACCTGTGTACCTGCAGATATTTCCCACTAATTCAACCTCTTCCCCTAACATGGAGGTGTCTCATTCTCCTTGGGCAGATACTGCCAGTTACAGCTTGGAAGATTTGAGGATAAAAGAGAGAGGGGAAGCAGCAGAATGCCCCAAAGCACCTTGCAGACATGGGAAGAATTAATTAATCAGCAAGGATGTCTCATTCCAACCACCTCTTTTGTGTTTCAGCCCTGGCCCAGCGTGTCCAACCTGGCCAAGGATTTCATCGACCGCCTGCTGACGGTGGACCCCAGCGACAGGATGACGGCCCTGCAGGCCCTGAAGCACCCATGGGTGGTCAGCATGGCAGCCTCCTCCTCCATGAAGAACCTGCACCGCTCCATCTCACAGAACCTTCTCAAGAGGGCTTCCTCCCGCTGCCAGAGCACCAAGTCAGCTCAGTCCACCCGCTCCAGCCGCTCCACCAAGTCCAACAAATCGCGGCGCGTGCGGGAGCGGGAGCTGCGCGAGCTCAACCTGCGCTACCAGCAGCAGTACACGGGCTGAGCTTGAGTCTCTGGAAAGGAAAATTCAAAAGGAGGACCCCTGCCACAGGTCTGCTCTGCCCTGCAGGTGTGCACACACTCAGTGAGGAACAGCCAGGTTCCTCCCTCCCTCCCTGCAGGAGGTGTCCCCCTCACCCCGTGCGGAGGAAAGGGAACCTCGTGGTGGCCGTGCCAGCCTGCGAGGGTCTTGCACCAGGAACGGGGGAGTCCTTGTGGGCTCAGAGCCTCAAGGAGTTAAGGAGCCACGTGGGGAGAAGAGCTCTTTCTGTAGCCCAGGAGCTTGGTTGTTCATAGTTATTTATTAATTCCAGAGCGTTTAGTTTGTCTCACTTGTGTACGGAAAAAAGAAGCAATCACTTGGTGTGTCTGTGCGTGCACGTCCGTGTGTGCACACACACGTGTGGGGGTGTATATGTATTTAAAAATTATGGATACTCAGATTTTGGGCTGGTTTAGTCAGACTCCGTGGTGCCTTTGCAGCGAAGCTGGAGTGAGTCATGTGCAGTTAGAAGTGGGATAGCTGTGACTCACTGCTGTGCTGCCCACCAGCTCCTCGCCAAAGAGATGCCAGACAGCAGTTTTCCACCAGGGCTGGGAAGCTGTGAGGTTTCCCCCAAGGGCTGCCATCCTCCTGATGACGTCAAGGGCTCACTTGATGACATCAAGGGTTTACCCCTGGAATTGTCCTTTCCCTGTTTGCAGCAAGACCAGTGCCTGTCACGCAGGGCTTGTCGTTCTTGTGGCTCTGTTGTGTCTCTGACGTGTTGCACACCTTGTACCCTTCAGAAGAAGATTGAGAAGGTTTTTTGTGCTAAGGGGAAAAAAGAGGAGGGAGATTTTAGGGATGTGCTTCCCACCCCAGAGGTGGGATGGGCTATAACCACTGTAAGCACAGTCTTACTGACCACATCACTGCACCAGAACCTTGGTGCTTTCAGGCTGCTTCCTGCCTGCAGATTTGACAGGGCTCCCCTGCTTTGTGTGCCTGTGCAGCCCCAGCACTGCCACCCCTGCTTTGGGACAGTGGTGGTGGGAGCTCTTGGGGTGGCCACAAATGGCTCCACAGCATCAGGGTGGGGGCCTGGGTAGTGGAAGCCCAGTCTGGGAGTGTCAGCAGTGACAATACCCTGGAGACATTGTACAAATGCCCTAGAGCTGTGAGGGGTGACTTAAGTTCACCAGGAAAAAGCTGCCTTTGAGGAGTCCTTGTGCTGTGTGGGTGATGAGGTGGCCTCTTACAAAGGACTCTCAGGGGAGGTGGGGCTGCAGAGCTGAGCTTTCTGCAAGCCTGCTGGGATTCTCTTCCCAACTAGTTAGGGCAGCAAAGTGGGGCTGATGGCACAGACACCATCAGGATGGATTTGGCTTCTCATGGTAGCAGAGACAAGATCAACAGTGAAGGAAAATGCTGGGGTTTGAAACTTTTCTTACAAAGCCACACGATTTGCTTTGTGCAGTGCACTTGGGAAGGGCTTGCTTGGCTCTGGGCTGGAGATGCAGGCAAGTCCCAGCTCAAGGATCTGGTGAGCTTGGCTTTTCCTAGGATTGATGGCTGTGCCACTGTGTTTCAGTGTCAGCAGGGCTGAAGTGGTCAGTCCCATCTCCAGGGAGCTCTCACAGTCACTCCCAGTCAGCAAACAGCAAAGCAGCTTTAATGGGGGAAGATTGGAGTTTTCTGTGCTAAGGTAAAAAAAAATAAAGGGGGATTTCTGGGGGTGTGCTCCCACCCCAAATGTAGGATGGGCTGTAACCAGCCTGGTGTGCCAAGCATGTGGTGGAAAATAGAGCAGACACTTGAGGACAGCCACTGTGTGTAGCAGGAGTGAATTCAAAATCCTTTGTGTGGTTTTTCATGTTACTTTGAAAACCTCACATCCTTTGCAGGCTGCCCTTGCTCTGAGCAACCCATCCTCCCATGTCACACGCAGTCTTTCATCCATCAGCATTAACAGATACTTTAGAATTTCCTGTATTCGTTTTTTTCAACTCTGTGGACTGCAGACAAAAATATTTTCAGCATCTTTTTACCTCCTCACATTGTTTTTCCCTAGTTTGTTACCAGGAACTTTAAACTAGATGTGATTTCTGACAAAGCAGGCAGCTTGCCACGTTTTGCTTCATAAACAGTTCAGTGTCCCTCATGGTCCTGCAAACAGCTCCCCAAAAGCAGGAGCCCCTCTTGGGCCAGGATCAGCTGGACCCTGGGGTCCTGCAGGTCAGGTGGTGGCAGGAGGCTCTCTGGGAGCACTTCTGGTTCTGAGCCATTACTTGAAGAGGCTTTGGTGTGTTTGGAGCATCACTCCAGGCACTGTGATTGCTTTTACCTCCTGGCTGCTCCCATGGCCCTCCCCAGATTATCCTGCATTTTTATCCATAAAACAGGGATTTTATTTTGCCTGTGTGAGGGGGTCAAACTGATGAACTGAGCCAACTGAGTCTCTAGAACTGAGAGCCTTCCCCTTAACCACTAGACTGTCAAAATGCACAGGCATCATGCAGAGATCTGCCCATGCTGTTCCTTTATCCTTCCCTTATGGGATGAGGAATGCATAAAGCTCTGGGCTAACCAGGCTTCTTTCTCCACCTTCACAAAGCAGAACAAGAATCTTCTCTTCTGTGGCAATTTTTGCTTCATTGATCTTTTCCACAACCGTTTTTTCACCAGGGGAAGTTCAGAGTGATCGTTTGTGGTTGCTTTGGGCTGGAATGTGTTTTGAGGAGCAGGAGGTTGCTGTGCAGGTTCCTGACAGTGCCAGGATTTGGTGGTGATGCTCTGTGGCTGGGGGTGAATTGGCAGAAGGAGGATCCATCCCATAGCTGAGAATGCTGGATATTTGCATCTGCCTCTCCATGGTATTGAGGTGTGTGCAGTCCTCAGGCACTCCACTGCTTGGGAACTGTGGGAAGAGGACCAAGGCCATCCCATAAAGAGCTTTGGCTTTTCTAAAAAAAGAACTCTAATTCTTCTCACAAATGCAAGGTTTTCTTGTTTGCATGGGAAAATCTTTACAGGCTTTCCTTCCATAGTTCAATTTTAACTCTTGGCTCACTCCCTCTTCTGTTTCTAAATCCAATATTCATAGGAGCTTTGCAGCCAGACAATAACATGTGGCCAGAGGGGAGATGAGCAGAGCTCTGTCCAAGTGACCCTGGAGTCCTCAGAGATCTTTCCCTCAGTCTGGAAAACTGTGGTGTTCCAAATGCCACGTTGGAAGGTCCAGCTTAAGAACAATTCCTCAGGTGCTTTTATTCTTGCAAGTGGGACAGGTTTTCAGTTGGTCTGGTGTGGAGGGGGACAGGCAAAGTGCTGTAATTCTGAGCCATGGTCCAGGTGCCTTCAATCTGTCCTCTAAGAAGCTCTTCACTGTGAATTACCTTGATCATCTGTCTTCATTCCACAGGAGCAGCTCAGTGCTCAGTTGGTCTTAAATCTCAGGAGTTTACATTTTTCAGGAGTGCCTTTTTTGGGGATTTTAGAAACTAAAATCTCTCTGAAATGGTTTTTTCTGTTCTTTCATTTATTTTTTTTTTAATGTCCTTCTTTGACTCTTAATGGTGGTTCTTAATTAGGCTCACAGGGTGTTTTTGGGAAGCTTCCCTCCTGAATGTGCAGGGAGGACAGAAGTGACACCTGCCTGTTCCAGACCACTACAAATCTCAGTGCTTCTGTTTTGCCTGCTCTGGCTCACGCAGGGGAGGTGGAGTTGGAATGACACCTAGTGGCAAATTGTGGTGTGTCCTTGTCCCAGCACAGCCCCCTCCTCGCTGCTCTTTGAGGAGTAAAAAGGGAATTAGGGTAGTTTGTCTTTTGGAACTTAGCAGTACTGTGTAAAACAATCCCATCCTTTTGTCCTGGGAGTTTGGCTGCTCTCTCAGGGGAGAGAATTACAGCTTCAAAGAATGTGGCCTGTTGGTTCCTTGATTTTTATTATTTTTGTTGAAGGTTATTGGAAAAGAATGTGAAAAAGTCTTACAAAAATTGCATTAAGGAGTCTAAAGATTTGCATCCAGGTTTTTGAGTGTGTAGTGTATTTTCCTAAAATAGCAGTTATCAGTCCATTTTTTATTTACTTCTCCTTCAGGCTTCTGAAAATCCTAACACATCAGCCCAGTGGGGGTAGAAACCACCCTTCCTGAAGAAGCCTGTGCTGTTGAACACTGCAGCTGTGATAGCATCCAGATGCTCCTGCCCTGTGTTGTTCTTGGAAGCACACAGCTGTACGTGGAGGAGAGCTTGAGAGCCTTGTGAGGGGCTTGGGCTCAGACTTGGCTTTGGCAGTGATGTGGAAAGCAGCTGCAGTGCAGGGCCTGCTTCACGTGTTTGTTCTGGATGTGATAAACCCTCATGCTTTCCTTTGGAATCTGGGCATTTTCCTCTTTTAGGTGAGATATTTTCTGTTCTGGTGATTTACACTGTTTCTGAGGCCCTGCCCTATTGCTCAGTCCTTTTTTCTACCTGGGTGTTTGGCTACAGTACTGAGAGAGTCAGTTTTTATCTGATGCACAAACTGGAATAGGAATGATGGGCAGCAGCTCTGGGTTTGGCTCTGCAGGAGCTGTGGCAAGTCCAGGGGCAGGGAGAAGCTTCCATATGGTGCCTTTGAGGACCTGCAGTGCAGGCTCAGCTCAGTCTTGTACCACATAGGGCAACCACTGTGTGGCTGTTACAGCTTCTGGTTAGGCTGTGTGGGGCTGTATTGGTTTAAGTAATGATATTGAAGATTTGGGGGGTTTGAGGTGGGATAAATTAAAATCTCAATTGTTTGACTTAATTTCGTTTTCTAAATGATGCAAAGCAACACAGACATTGGCTTCTTTGGCACCAGTGTGAGCCCTAGAATTTGCAGGGAGGTTGGGTTGTCCAGGCCTCTCACCCACTCAGTTTTCTCCTGGAAAGTGTCACAAAGTGCCTGTACCACCCTGCATGAACCCAGTCCCAAGTTGCCTTCACCACTCTTGGGAGGGTTTTGGTGCTTTTTTTGACCACTCAGTCTGCTCTCTCACCCTGGACTATGAGTGCAGCACTCCAAGGCAGGTGCCTGCATGTCAGCTGTGCCTTACTGTGCAGGAAACTTCCCAAAGAAATAAATGTGAACACCAGGGATGTGCTGTGGCGAGCGGCATCACAGAGCTCAGTGTGCCAGGGGCAGTGGGGGCTCTGCCTGTGACAATTGTCCCTTTCCCACTGTCCTCCCCTGCCTGGTGATGCTGCAGATGTGTGATGGGCGAGCTCTGGCTGCTGTTGCAGAGGGCACTGCACTGTTTGTTTGCTGAATGTGGAATCGGTTCCTGGAGCAGTGAGTGTGTTACAAAGCAGCAGCTCCTGGTGTTACAAAGCAGCAGCTCTGATGCCCTGAGCTTTCCTGTGGCCTTTCCCTACGGAAGGACCTCCCAGGAAGCCCTTGGAATCTGACATCTTCCTGCACTTGCTGTTATTTTTGGTTGCCCAGTTTCCGCTGCTGGGTTGGAACGGTTTGGAAGCGACTCTGGTCTCACCCGCTCGGTCTGTGTCACATCCAGTGTCCTGTTCTGTGCCTTGCCTTTTGAGTCCTGGCTTTACTCTAAGGACTGTCCTGTCACATGAGGTGGGACCCATTGTAATTAGTCTGTAATGTTCACATTAGAGTGTACAGAATTATTTATTTGTTGTACTCGTTCTGCTAAAACATGTCCATGTATTCTGTGTACCCCACGGCTCTGCTGTCCTTACTTGTGCCTGGTGGATCACCTGCAGGCTGGCTGCTGGAAGGCAATTCCAGGCCTGATTTCCAGGCTGGGAATGATGGTCAGTAAGTCCATGGAGACCCAGGAGGTGCTCACCCCTCTGTTATGTTCATAGATCACAGCAACAGTACCAAAGTGCCCATCAGAGGGTTTGCTGGTTTCTGTACTGCAGCTGCCCAAGGGAGACCTTGTGCAGGGCTGGGATGTCCTTGGGGTGCCCTGGATGAGGCAGGCACTCAGCCTGTGGCTGGAAGGTGCAGCTGGGAGGCTGAACAGGCACTTTGGGACATTCTGTTTATTTTTCATTGGCTGCAAGGTGGTAGACTGGGCCAGAGGAATGCTCTGGTTTGTCCACAGCCACTCATCACCTCTCCAGTTTTACTCTGAGCAGCTTTTATGGACGAACAGGAAAACTTGTGAACAATGCACACCCCTCTTGAGACACCTCTTCTCCAGGATTTTCCAAGGGCAGGGGACCCCATCCCAGTGGGGCAGAGCTGACAGAGAGCCCAGCACACAGACCAGGTGACCCACAGTGCTGCAGTTGGTCATTCCTGTTTGAAGTTCCCTATAGCCCCAGTTCTCTCTGCCTGCATGGTCCATCCCCACATCCCTGTTCACTTGCCTTTAAGGTCAGTTAGATGCTCCCTGCAGGGCAAACCACTAAAAAAACTCTAACTCTATTGACCACTAAAATTTGTTAGCCCTAGGCTTTACTTGAGCAGATTTGTATTTAACTCAATCATATGGGCCTGATTGTTAATGTTTGCCTTCCATTGATGTTCCATACCCCTCCCATCAGTGTGTCCCTGTGTAATGTCACTCTCTGCTTAACAGAGTGATTACACTTTGGGGGCTGTGATTCACACAGTATCACCTTCACATCCCTGGTAAGGAAAACTAAACCCCACACCTCCTGTTGGGACAGTCTGATCCTGCTTCTCTCCACAGTGCCTTATCACCAGCTCTATTTGGAGCTGCTGGGAGCTGGATTGTAATTCATTGAGCATGTGTCTTGCTACTCCCATGTCACACAAGACTTTTTTTTTCCCCCACCAGCCATTGTCTCAGGAACCCATTTGAGTAAAAGCCTGTCACCTGGCTTGAAATTTGTTTTCAGATTCAAATTTTCGTTTGCAATTGCCTGCAGTTTCCTGCTGCTACCTGGCAGATCTGCAGGTGTGAAGCAGTGTGCTGTCCTCCAGCCATCCCCTTCCACCATCCCCAGGAGCTGGAGCTGCCTGTGGCACTTCTCCCTTTCAGCTGTGTTCTCAGCTGCTACACGAGTCATGGCTCTAAACTGCAGGCAGGGATCCTTTAGGGTGCTGTGCCCCCACCAACACCCACCTCCCACTGCAGCTGGGCAATCCTTTCTGGTGCTGAGCTGCAGCTCCACACTCCCTTCCCTGGTGGCACCTAGGTCAGTGGGAGGACCATTCTCCCAACCTTCAGCACTGCCTGGATTGGTGCCAGGGTGTGCTTGAAGACCCCCTGAGCCCCAGCCAGCCCTGCTCCCCCTCTTCCTGAGCATCCTGTCCTAGTTTGGCAGTTCCCCCTGGGTCCCAGTTGGGCACCAAGCTCCAGCTCTGGGAAGCAGAGAAGCCCCAGGCTCCTCCATGTATCTTCCACCCCATTCTGCATCATGAGAAGAAAGGAGGCAGAGACAGTGCTTGGCCCAAGCAAAAGCTGCTACTTTATTACTTTATTAATGCCAGTGAAGGGATCAGGCTGGCAGCAGCTTTACCCCTGAGCAACAACAGCATCGATCCAGTTACGGAACTGGCTGACACGAGTGTACATGGCCGGCGTGTTGATGTTGCAGTTGGAGGATCCCCAGGAGACAATGCCAATCAAGGTCCAGCCATTCCCAGTCTGGTACACCAGAGGTCCACCAGAGTCACCCTGTGGAGAGGATTCCTGCTTAGTGCTCCTGGCACATGCTCCAGACTGGTCCCAGCCACCTGAACCTCTGCGCACAGCCGGGTGTTGGGGCTTAAATAGAGGGGTCTATAAGGGCAAGACCCTGTGTCCCCTGCTCCTCCACCCTCCCTGTGATGCCATGGAAGCTCAGCAAGACCCCTCATATCCTCCTCCACCCACCCTCTGCAGCTAGAGCTTGGCTCCTTACCTGGCAGGAGGTGGCACCAGCCCCACCGGCACAGATCATGGAGCTGGTGATCTGATTGCCCCAGTACTGCATGCACTGGCTCTGGGAGATCAGGGGCACGGTCACCTGCTGCAGGACTGCTGCCAAGGCTTGGGCTAGGGGAAAGAAGCACCATTAGATCACCTCAGTGTCTGTGGGTCTCCTGGAGTGCACACAGGTGCTCTGGGCAAGCTTTCACTGGTGCACGGGTGCTACTATACAAAGCACCTTCCTCCTCTGTGCCAACAAACCCCTTCTTCCCCAGGATCACCTCATGCAGGCAGCCCAGAGAAAGGGCAGGCTTGTGCCTGTGCACATCCATCCCTGGGTTGCACACACACACCCAGCCCCTCAGCACACACCTGCAACTGTGTGCACACTGGTACACGCTCAGACAGGGCTGTTCCACTGCCCTGCTCTCCCCCTTCCCACATGCACAGGAGATGTGACCCCCACAAGCACCCCTGGACCTTTAGAGCCCCAAGGACGAAGAGCAGCTACACACAGCCCTCCCTGAGGCTGCAGCTCACGTACAGTTGGGGTTGGTGCGTCCCCAGCCGGTGGTGACAGCCCAGGCGTTATAGGGCAGAGCCAGGTTGGCAGGGGCCAGGCAGATGGTGGACACACGGGCCCCCAGCTGGGCAGGCGTGGACAGCCTCAGCAGGGTGATGTCATTGTTCATGGTGTTGGGGTTCCAGCCAGGGTTGGTGATGGCCTGCAGAGACAGAAACAGCGCAGCCCTTCATGGCTGCCCCGTGGGAGCAGCCCCGGCTCGGAGCTGCAGCCCCGCCCCAGGACCCGCCCGGCTCACCCTGGACACGGTCTTCACTTGGACGGGCTCGCTGTTGGAAGTAAGGCTGTATTCCCCCAGGACAACAACGTGGGAACGTGGGCTGTGAGAGGTAAGAGGGAGTCAGGGGTGGTGTCCAGCCAGCACCCAGGGTGGGAGCAGCACTGGGGCAGCCACCATGGGGACAACTGGGGAGGAAGCCCTGGGCTGCTCAGGCCTTTGGGGCTGACCCGAGTGCCACTCAGAGATGCCCAGGATGCTCTGAGCCCCTGGCCCTGCCAGCAGCACTGGCATGGGCTGGCTGGGCATCGCTCCTTACTTGAAGTTGCAGTGGGCAGCTGTGACGACCCAGTACTGGTTGATCAAGGAGCCACCGCAGAAGTGGGATCCTGTGGTGGTCTGGGGAGGGAAGAGAGGGGAGGAGCTGGGGCTGTGCAGGCTGAACACCCCCAAGCTGGGGACAGGCAGAGGTCCCCCAACAGCTGGCCATGCCAGTGCTTAGGGCAGTGCCCAGGGAGGGGGACAGTGCTGTACCTGCAGGGACACCTGCCAGGGCCATGAGCCGGGCACGGCGTTCTGCCCATTGACAATCCTCTCGCTGTAGGCCACCGAGGGACTGATGGCGGGCACCCCGCAGCCTGCAGGAGAGGCACAGGGGACAAGGGTGACCCAAAAGCTCAGGACTCATATCTGGGGGCTGCCTGTGCCTGTGGGTGGCTGTGTCACCCTCTTTGGCATCCTGCTGCGTCCCAAGGACCTTCCCACACCCATGGGCAGCACTTACCTGAGACTGTGCTGGCAAGGGCCAGGCAGGCAACTACCCACAGGAATGCCATCCTGAAAGGAGATAGTCTGAACCCCTGGGCACCACGAGCTTTTATAGCAGCCAGGGCGCCACGTGGCTCATAAGTGACCAGGTTAAGGTCCCCCTGTGGCCTTGTGACACATTTAGGCAGCAGTGACGGGCCAAGCCTGGCACACACACAAAGAGGAACGTGGGAAGGTGCTGTCAAAAGACACCTGGGGGGCTTGGGCTTTTGCTGTCGTGGGTTGTGTTAGTTCTGACTGCAGGCTGTGGAGTTGGGGCAGGAAGCACCACAGGGCTGTGCTGGAGGGCACAAGAGGCTGGTTGTGGGCACACAGCTGGGGTAGCAGTGGGGCTGGACATGCTGGCATGGGCACCAGTTCCTGCGGTGGGAGGTCATCCCGTGCTCAGACTTGTTTCAGATCTACTGGGACTAGAGCTGTTTTTTCACATCGCCATGAAGTCCTGGCCTGGGCCCACCTGGATGTTCCCAGGGCTCAGGGTTGAACACTTTGAACCATGTCTGAGGTTCATGGGAGCAAGTCCCACAGCCAGTGGGGGCAGGTGGGGAGAGCAGACACCTTCCCAGGCAGGTGGGGAGAGCAGACACCTTCCCAGGCAGGTGGGAGTGTGGCCAGCTGGGCAAGCACACCATGAGCCCCAGGGAGGACAGAGGGCGCCTCCCCAAGCTGAGGTTGAGCCCTTCACTGAGCATCCCCCTAGCACTGTAGCCACCTCACCCAGGACTGGGGAACATCAGCCCCCTCTGTCCTGGTCAATGGGGTGTGTAGTGTGTGCATTATCCCCTGTGTCCTGGGTGATCTCCTGGGCTGGCACAGGGTGCAGGGAGCCAGGTCTGGGGTGATGCTGAACCTGGGGGTGGATCCCTCCCTCTCTGTGCCACCCACATACCCCAACCCTCCAGGGAGCAGAGCTGGACACTGGGGTGCAGAGTGCAGAGCTTAGGCCTTTATTTCCAGCAGTGGTACCATGCAAGGACAGTGGGATGTGGCCCATCCCAGGGTGGGAAGCGTGGCAGAGCATGGAGGTCTCCCTGCAGGGGCTGGGCAGGGTGTAGGCAGAGACAGACTGCTCCTGATCTTCATATGGCACTGGGGAGGAGATGCCAAGGCCTGGGCAGCAGCACAGGAGGGAGGGAGAGCCAGTGCTCAGGGTGGTGCTGCCCTTCATGGAGGAACCTTGGAGCAGGACAACACACCAGGCACAACCATGCTCTCCATGCAGCTTGGGAGCCTCCAAGTCCAGTCCTCCTCCTGGCAAATGAGCCAGAGCCAGGGGTTTGGCAGGTCAGCAGGAACTCGGAGCTGTCCCTTTGTGCCAGCAGGGCTGATGGCACTGTCCAGGATGGGGAGACCACCTTGTGCTCTTCTCCTCAGCATCCCTGAGCCATGACGAGCTGGCTCAGCTGCTCCTCACTGGCCATGCAGGGCCCAGCCTGGTGGAGCAGCAGCACCCAACCCCAGGGCTGAGCCCAGGGTACCTCCCATGGCTGAAACCCTCCTGCCAGCCTGGTCCCAGCAAGGCTCCAGTCTGCCTCAGAGCTGGAATGGTGACTGTCTTCATGGCTAGTGTGGGAATCCTTAAAATCAGAGGGTTTTGGGAAAGCTGGAAAAGTAGGCCTTAGAAACAGAAATAGCAAAGAAACTTGGAGCTGGCTGGGACACACTGGTTCAGGGGGCTGTCTGGAGATTTGGGAAAACCCAAACATCTCTGCAGCCCCATGGAGATGTGAATTTGTCCCAGCTGCAGATTCCTGTCCATTCTGCAACTCTTCTTTCTCCTGCAGGCAATGGGCCTGAGCAGCCTCAGTCACTGTCCCAGCAGGCCACCAAAACAGCTACAGGTTGGATTTCCCCCAGTCCAGGTATCCCAGGACTGGTGCTTGCAGGGGACAGTCTTCTCATGGGGCAAGATCAGAGGAGAATGGCCTTTATCCAGACTGTCCCCAACACAGTGCTGTGTGTAGGGGATGCCACATGTCACCTGTTCTCCCCCTGCACAGCCCCTAGCTGGGCCAGCAGGGCACCAGTGCCAGGCAGGGTCAGGCACACTTGCCCTTGCGAAGGCAGAAGGGCAGCTCGGGCACAGGGACCAGGATGGTGCTGAAGATGGGCCGGTAGCCCTCGGGCAGAGCCTGGGGGTGCTGAGCCATCATCTCCAGCACCACATGCCGCACCTCCTTGGAGACGTCCCCGCGGATGTCCAGCAGGGTGGAGATGTGCTCGTCACTGGGGAGAGAGCCACGGGTGAGTGAGCACTGCTCGTGTCCTGCAGACCTCCCCCCATGCACAGAAGCCAAAGCCAGGGGAAAACTGATACTTTGCACCAGGCCAAGTAGCATTTTCTTGAAAACAATCCCCCCTCACCAACCTTTTGAATTTGGTTTTGACATTTCCAATTTGGTGTTTTGTTACTTTTCACAGTTTGTTTGGCCACCAAATACAGATGTGCAAATGCCACAGCAGAACTGCTGTTTTCTGTCTTCACCCTTGGCCTTTTTTTTCAAGAACCCCTCAAATCTGGAGCATGGGAAAAGGAAACCTCAAGGAGAAGGGGGTAAAGACTCAGGTTTCTGCCTGCTCTGCTGTGTCACCTCAGAGGGTGCAGGCCAAGAGTGGCTCTCCTGGGCAGGCTCACACCCATCCCCTCCTGCAGGGAGTACCTTACCTGACATCGGGGTACTTGGTGACGAAGCCCAGCACCTCCAGGCTGAGTAGTGCTGGGTCTTTGAGGCAGATCAGCTCCCGCAGGGCAAAAACAGCCTCCAGGCTCTGCTGGCCCCGGTCCAGGCCCTGGGAGGGAAAGCAGCCACGTGTGAGACCCAGAGGATGTCACTGCAGTGGCTGGGGAGCCAGCTGCATCCTCAGTGCCCACGTGGGGACCTGAGCCCCTGCAGCTGCTGTCTTCCCACTGAGCATGTCCCACCCATCAGGGGCTGCTGGGCAGGGTGATGGTCCCCAGAGTCCCTAATCCAGCCAGTTCCTCCCATATTGGCCTCACAACCACCCAAGTGTGACAGCCCCATTTGCTCGTGGGCTGTGGGCTGGAGGGGAGCAGGAGGGTGAGGTGATGCTCCCTTTCCATGGTGCAGCCCCAGCTCCCCACGCAGCCAGGCTGCTCTCACCAGGCCACAGAAGAGCTCCTGGAGCTGCGTGGCGTCCTGCAGCAGGCGGTGGCACAGCTGGCCCCGCTCCTCCCGGCTCTTGCACACCATCTTCCTCTGCAGCAGCGCCCGCAGGTACTGGTTGGCCACCAGGAGCTCGCTCTCGGCCACCAGGAGCTGGGCAGGGGACAGCTGTTAGTGCTGCCATCGCCTGCATGTCCAGACCCAGCTCCCCAGGGAAAGGCAGAGGCAAAAACAACACCAAGCCATGGGAACAATCTCCTCGGAAGCCCCCTGACCGAAGGGACAGAGAAAACAGGTGGATCTGGGGGAAGCCCTGAACATCTCCATGTGGTGGTGCTCTCTGCACTGCCCCAGAGGACACAGACTCCTACATCCCCAGCATCCTGCACCCCAGCACGGTGCCCACTGCCCAGCCTCCCTGTCAGACAAGCAGCAGCTCCAAGGAGGTACCGTGAACACGGGTTTCCTGACGCGGGAGAAGTCCTTTGCATACTTGTCAATCACTTCACACATGCTGCCGACCAGCTGGGACCCGGAGAGCCACTTGCGGGAAGGCAGCTGCAGGCAGAGGGGCTGCAGGGAGCAAGGAGCAGTGTCTGTGCAGTGTCTGTGCCCTGCACCATCGCACAGCTGCCAGCTCAGGGCAGCACAACACCCACAGCTGCTGCCTGGCACCATGGGCACTTCGCCTTGCAAAGCCCCAGAGCCCCTGCTGCCCAGGGTTTTGGCCCAGCCAAAACTCAGTGTAAAATCAGCAGTGTGGTTAAGGTTGGGAAATTATGGAAGCACTGGGGCTGTCCCTCCCTGACACTCTGAGAGCCTCATTTTGGGGCTTTATCTGGGTCATGATGCACATCTGAGGTGTAGGCAGCAAGCTGCTCCTCACACACCTGTTTTTGGCCTGTCCTGCCTATTTTTAATTTCCACTCCTCCCCACCTCCCTTGTGTAGACATAACATGTTTTTTGATTTCCTACTCCTGCCCTGCTGTCCTTGCCTGTCTTCCTGCTTGCAGGCACACACTCCTTCTGTCTCTGCTAGGGCCACTGCTGCCTGCAAGCTCTTCACCTTTTGGCTCTTCCTTTGTTTTCATGGCATTCAAGCCCTAAATAGTAATGCCGTTAATTATTCCAGGTTTTTGGTCCAGACTCCAGGAAAGCTAAATTTGACTACACTAGCAGGAAACGACTCAGGCAGCTGCACATGGATTTGTATCCTCCACACAGACTTTGCTGCTCTCCAGCTGGTTTTCTGCCATGGAACAGCCAGAAGGAGCTGAGGCAGCTCGGGGGGGCTTTGGCTGTGGGCTCTGTCTGTTGGTGATTTGGGGGCCATGAGCCATCTGCCCAGCGATACGGGGTGCTGCTGTTGGTGACAGACATCGGGTGCTTTATCAAGGTCTGGGGGACAGGCTGGCAGAGATGTCTGCAGGGTGATAGCAGGGTACAGAGTACATGGCAGGGACCCTGAGCAGGAATGAACTCGAGTTGCAGTAGGGCTGTTATTGCTGGGCTCAGCTTTGTTGCAGCCCTGTCGGCCTCAGGTGCTGGACCAACATACCTGCAGGTCCAGGAGCAGTTCCTCCAGCAGCAGCTGGGTGGCTTTCTTCTGCATCCTGTCTAGAGCAGCCTGCAGGGAACCCGGGACTTCTCTGCTGGCAGTGTCAGGGTGCAGGGAGGAGACAGCATTGCTAGGAGAGAGAAGAGAGGGCACAGGTAGCCTGGGAAGCATAGTGGGAACGCTGCCCCAGCGAGGATGGGGGTGGGTGTTGCTACAAGAGCTCCCAGGTGCTGGTGCAGCTTACCTGAGAGCCAGGTTGTTGTTGAGCACGGCCAGCAGGTGGGAGATGTAGTACTTGGGAACGGCCCGGTCCTGCTGGTGCTCCTTCCCGCACTGCACCAGCGCTTCCCGCAGGCTGCAACACAGCGAGGCAGAGGAACCGTGACGGGCAGGCAGAGCCACCACGGGCACCTGGCCCTGGCATGCTCCTGGAAACACATGGACCTCCCACAACCGTCCCAGCTCCCTTGGGTCCTGTCAGATCCTGCCACCAGGTTGGAGAGTGACAGGTTGTTGGGCAGGGTGGGGCAGTGGGACCCATTCTGGATCCCCTTGGGAGGGCTCAGCAGACAAGCATTTGGGGCAGCAGGCCCTGAGAGCTGATGTCCCCAAAGGCTGAGACAGCAGCCCCATGAGCAGACAGGCTGCTGAGCTTTCTGTGACCTGGGTGAGCATTGGGTGCCCCACAGCAGATCTCCACCCCCACCTGTGATGCTCATGGCCCCAGGGTCTGTGAGGGTGGGCAGGGGTGTGAGTAGCTCCACTGACCGGCCCAGGAATGCCTCAAGCTCCTCCAAGGCCATGTTGTAGATTTTCTGCTGCAGAGAGTCAGTGATCAAGGAAGCCACCTGGATGTTCTCATTCAGCATCTGCAGCACAAGAGGAAAGTGGAGGTGATTCAGGGAGAGCCTGCAGGCTATGGAATCCTTTCTGGGAGGCCTCAGCATGGCCATGCCCCATCTGTACCCATGTTCTTGGGGTCCCACCTGCATGACAATGGCAGGCAAGGCTGACTGGAAGAAGCCCTCATGGTCTGTCTCAGGTTCCTCTTCCCTGAACCATTCCTTGAACTCCACATCCAGGGTCCTCTGCATCCACTCGAACACGCTAGCCTGCAGGATAGACACCCCCACAGGCAGCCCAA